AAGTAGCTGGTTCCCTCCGACAAGTTGTTTTTTGAAAATTCTTCTTTGGTCTTAATCTGTCACGAAAATTTGTCGAAATACACAAAATATCAGTTTCATCTTTTCATTCTTTAAATTTCTCTCCTTTCTTCCAGCAGGCAGATGCATTCATCGACTGCCCGCAGCCGACAGACCTGAAGGTGAAGACTGAGTCGCCGGTTTGCAAGACGGAGCCCTCCTCGCCCGAGCCGCGCCCCGCCGAGGACCAGACTGAACCCGTCGACCTGTCCCTCAACAAACCCCGCTCCTCTTCGCTCCCCGCCTTCACGACGAGCACCACGGTCAACCCCGCGCCCAGCAGCATCATGACTCACCCCAGCCTGCCCGCCACGCCGGTCCCCTCTGCGGTACAATCGATAGGCTCCATGGTAACGACAACCTCCCTTCTCCTCCACTGTTGTGAAGCTGTTGTCGGAGCAACGAATCAAACACCTCCCCTCGTTGTTTCCCGCTCTAGGTCCTGTCTCCGGGCTCGATCCTGGCCACGCAGGGCGCCGGGGGGCAGCAGATCCTGCACGTCATTCACACCATCCCCTCGGTCAGCATGCCCAGCAAGGTGGGCCAGCTGCAGACCATCCCCGTGGTGGTGCAGTCGCTGCCTGTCGTCTACACTACCATGCCGACTGACGGCGTCGCCACGGCAGCCATTACTGTCCCGCTCATAGGCAGCGACGGGCGCTCAGAAGGATCTGGTGAGTGGCACAATGAAGACTCTGGTGTTATTCTTATATAACCGCTCCACAGTCACATTCGCAGCAGCAGCAGAGTCTGTCTGAACTTTTCTGTCTTGGTGACACACTCACTCGCTCACACTGTCATTTCTGGGTTTCTCTCGTCTCAGAGGAGTTCAGTGACGGAGCTGATGTGTGTTTATGGTTAGTGGTGTGTTAGACGTGCCGTCTGTCTGCCTGTCTATCTCTGTCGCCCTGGACGCTCTCCACATGTGCCGGGAGACGGATATTCCCACTCAAACGAGGAAACATGCTGAAAGAAATGTTCCTACTTGCACGTCACGCGTCACGGTTTCAACAGCTGATTCCGTTCTCTAATATTTTGTTGGGGAAAGTCTCCAGATGGCCCATAAATCAAAACAGGAACTTGTTGTACAGATCGTTGTATGACTGGTAATGTGTGATATTTTTTCTTTTAAACGTGCATCTGAGGAAGTAAACTTGAGCAACTTTACTGCGTCTCAAATGTCCCGAAGTTCTCTGACACTAAAGCTGTTTTCAGAACATAGAGCGTAAACGTCCAGAAGACTGGATCTGGACATTTTAGATAGAGCAGCCGGAGGCACAACGTCTAAATTCTGCTGCAGAACTCACGTCCTGTGTGAACCCTGATCAGCAAAAGCTCTTGAATCTCATCGTCTTTACAAGTTGACGTCTTCGTCTTCCATGTTTCATGTCTGTCACATGTCATCATCAACACGCCACAATTTACCATAAAAGTTCTGGAACATGTTCAGAGCTACTGACTCTCAGGAAAATGTTCTGGACTATCTTAACATTTATCCGTGTGTGACCAGGTGAAGTGAGAATGAGGTGGGGACGTCTCGTATCAAACAGCTCTCTGAAGTCAGAGTTTGTCCTTCTGTCAAGTCTGGACACTCAAAGATAAAAAAACACCAAACGAAGAGTTGGAGGAGCTGTAATCTTCCCAGAGGAAGCTCGAAATTTGTTCAGGCAAACCAACCGTGTGATAAACTGCAGTAACGTCCCTCGGTCTGGTTCTCTGAGGTCTGAGATCCAGAGCAGCGCGGCCTCCACTCAGGAATGTAAACCAGGGAGAAACCTCTACAAGAATCTGCAGCTCACAGACTGAAGGCCTGAGGACTCTCTCACTTTCAAACATTGCCACGAGTTATTGTGTCGCACAGTGTTAGAGTTCAGCTTTTTTTACTTTAAGGAACAGGAATGTGCCGGATTCAGCTTAGAGAGAATTATAAGTTTCTTTATCAGGGAGGAGAATATGTTCTTAGATATTATTGACATGGAGACTTTGTCTAAATGCGTCTGCGAGCTCTTCTCCATCCACCTCGCGTGTGATCACGCAGCACTGTTGTTGCATGATTTGCCTCGGGCTGGTCGCAGTTAAAGGCCACAGGAAGATGTAAACTTTTTTTTTTTTAAATGTCACAAAGTCGCAGCTGTTGTTAGTTGTTGCTTTCAGTCGGCACGCTGACTGCAGGAAGGTCAACCGGAGCCGTGTCTGCAGGATTTAATGTCCGTCGTTTCAACCACCAGCTGATTAAGGAGGCGTTTGAGAGGAAGACTTTGGGAGAGTTGCTAAGCGTCTGCACGCCTGTTGAATATTGACTCCGATTTAAGATGGACGACGTGTCTCCACTTTCACGTGCACTTGAGAATTTGACTTTTTAGTTTGGTCCATGTCCAATTCACTAACGTGGAGGAGACAAGAGTTTATGACCTTTACTGCAAAGCGCTTCACTTTCTGGGAGCTATAGTGTCGTCCATCTTTGTGTCTGCACGTGTGTTGTACCTAAGTTTCATGAAACGGTGCAACGCTTCACGTCAACTATGAAACTCGCTCTGGACCCTCTGATGGATGTTTACAGTTTTGCTGCGACACAGTAACTCAAGAGTTTACTCAGGAATTTTTCACTCACAGGAACCATTCAAGCATCACCTGAACTAATCTAATCTAATCTAGTGAGACGGGCTCAGGGGATACTGACGGTTCAGTCGTCAGTGAAGGAGCCGCTTGTTCCTCAAGCTCGTGTCGGCGAGGAGAGCGAACGGAAAAGAAGGGTTGAAGAAGTGAGTCGAACAAGAGGAGAGAGAGAGAGACGGTTTCTGATTCGAGCTCAGACTGATTAGATGAAAGAAGGCGACGTGTAAATGTGTCTTTGATAGTTGGGTCCTCTTTTTGAGGGAGCGGGAGGCGGCTTAAAGGAGAGCGAGGGCTGGTGGAGGACGGGTGTGGCGGGGAGCTGAGTGAGATATGGTCGGTGAGGAGGGATGAGGAGATGAGGGTGCAGGGGTCGAGGGGAGAGGAGATGGCTCGTTTCGCCTTTGAAAGAGGAAGGAGGCAATGTTGGATGGGGGGGGGGCTTAATTGTCTCCAGAGACAAAGAACACTTCTTTTGGTTTGTGACCCTCCACACACACACACACACACACACACGGATACTCCACCCAAAATTCCTTGCGTCACCCTTCCACCCACCCCGCCCCACCTCGCTCTCTTCAGGCTGGCCGGACTTTGAGCAGTATGGCTGCCACATTCCTTCAGGCAGCCGTGTAATGTTTTCCGCTTCTGTACTGCTGCCCCTGATAAGCAGCGTCCCAGAGACGTGACGTTAAATCGTGGAAAGAGAAAAGACACAGAGAAAGACAGAAAAAGAGAGAGAGAGAGAGAGGACCGTAAGACTTTGAATGGTTCAAATTATTTGACCAAAAAAAAAAATCACAGTTCATGAACTCGCTGTTTCATAGTTTCCTTCGATCGATTAAAGTTAATCAACTCTATCCTCATATCTCTTGGTGCTTTTGATTCATGCACGTCTCTGACGTTGCATCATTACATCGCTCAGCAGAGACTCAACAGAGACTATTCACCACCACGACAAACTTCAATACATTTGTTTTGTTGCATAATCCAGTTTACAGACAAACAACATTAAAAACGTTTCTTCAGCTCCAAGCTTTTCACTCTTTGGTCCATCGTTAAAATCAAACTTTTGATGACGGCAGGTTTATTCGTAACATCTTGTGATTATTGTTCTTGTGTGAATCCAAACCGAACCAATTGACTTTCCAGAGTCTGTTCCAAATACCCAACATTCAAGAGACAAATCTGCCACGTGCATCCTCTCAAAGAATTCCAAAGCAAAACCACAATTTAAAACACGTCGAGGTTTCTAGGTGAAAATCGAGTTGGTATTCACAACAGCTTGAAGGACACTTGAGGACAACCTGCGAAGATTTGTCTTCCAGTTAATTGCTAATTAGCATCGTGTGTGATTTCTGCAGAAATGTTTGCATTAACATCTGTCCTGATGGTCTTCCCCTCACTTTGACATTGAGAGAGGTTGTTGCAACAAGAGAGAAATAAACAGGGATCCACGCAAGATGTTAAAACATGTTGAGAGATGTTGAGAAAGATGTGGAAACCACGGTGTCCTCGCAGAGAGCCTGCATCGGGTGTTGGCCTTAAAATATGATCCATCGAATCTGGAGCCTACCACACACACACACACACACACACACACACACACACACACACACACACACACATAACTTAGGACACGTCTTTGTCTTGTTAAGTTGCTGGAATCCAGGCATCACTTTTAAGAAGTTATTAACCCCCTGCTGTTCTGCTTTGTTTCCTCCCTTCCTCCCCTTCTTCTGCTCTCTCACTTCTTCCTCTTTCCATTTTCTGATTTCTCTCTGGCCACGCTCCCTCCTTCATCCTCAATCCCTTCCCATTCCCATATATCCCATATATCCCTCCTTTCCCTCCGTCCTGTCTATTCTCCTGCCATCTTTCCCTTTCTTATCCTTTTCCCCAGTTCGCATTAAGCCAGGTTCAACGTCTCCGGTGGAGTATCAGAGTGACAGCGATGCAGAGAGCGGTACAGAGTCCGGGTCGGCCTCCCTCAGTGCTCAGAGCCTCGACGCAGGGTGAGTCCAAAAAAAACACATTTTCTTACAATATGTAAGAAAATCGAAAGTTCATATATAGAAACGATTAATCGCTGCAAACAAAATACAGGTATTTGTAACATTTATGTAGAAAATGACAAGAAAAGCTGAATTTGTTAAAATCTGGGGATCTGTGTGATTGTGCCCCTTGTGGTGATAGTGTGGATGCATCAGGGATGTGTGAAAGCTGTGATTTTGACCACTGGAGGGGCTGAGGAGCAATGCTCTACTTGAGGCGTTGTTCAGACCTACCCACGAACGTTAGCTCTTGGGGGGGTGTGGTCTAAATTCCCCTAAATCGGAGGCTAAAGATAATGGTTGGATGAAACATACAGCAAACATACAGCTGCCTTTACGCATGAAAAGAGATGCTTCCATTTCAAACCGTGTTCAAACCATCACTGCCCACATACTTTTGTGTCCTCTACGTTTTAGCATTTAATCCACTAGAGGGCAGTGCAGAGTTGAGTGTCGATATTGACGGAGGGGGTTGTGATACTGTTGCTCTTAGGAAAGAGGCAACAGAAGCTGTTTGTCGCTTATGTAACCTCATGTAGTTTTGTACTAGCTCTTAAAGTCTGTCCTCGAAAAGTTCCGCCATTGTTGAAAATTAAAGTGTGATGTTCGGGTACCGCTCCATTTCGTTTTGTCCGTAAGCTTTTGGAAGACGTGCACAGACAGAAGGCTGAATATTATAGGAATGTACGCTAACACGAAATACAAAAAGAATCCCTCGACCTCCACATCAAATCAGACATCTGTGAAACCCGACAGGACATAAAGACCATGAACCATGCACGATGCCGTCAGAGTACAAACTCTATGATACGAGCGAGCGGAGCTGCAGAGTGAGAGCTGATGTACAGAAGGGTCTATGGGAAACGCCTGCAGTCTCCTGACTAATTACATTACTGCAGCGCTGCCGTGACTGGACACTTATATAACCTTATATAACCTCATACAACCCTCTGTACGGCAGAACACACCGGAGACGCCCAGGCTCTATCGCAGGGAAACAAGTGTGTGCATGTGTGGTGTGTGTGTGTGTGTGTGTGTGTGTGTCCATACATGCTCAGTACACACTTCATAAAAAAGGACATTGGGTTCTCTCAAGGAAAACTTGGACATTGAAAGTAACGTGCACGTTTTATTATTCACTGTCACTAGATGTCGCAATGACCCGTCTCTTTGTTTTCAACATGCCTGCACAGTGTCTGGCTGCTGAATATATAATAATAATAATAATAATAATAACTTGAATTTATATAGCACCTTTCTAGAGACAGATATATATATATATGCCAATGCAGAAGTAGCTGAGACCTGTACTCTCCTGTATTTACGGTCTTTGTGTTTCTGAAAGACGTCCCGGTGAAATGTGGTGAGAACTGTTGGATCCACCATCACTGCTGATCTGGAGAAATCTGGTTACATGATCATCAACAGTTTGACAGGGAGGGAACATGAACAAGCACGAACATGAACACATGCCTGGACCGGCCACCAAAACAAACAGTGATCAGATCCATAACTGCACCGCGTCTTTGTTGTCGGGTGTTTTAGTCACGTTTCAAATCTCATATCAATCGTGTGTCAGTGAAGTAACATGTGTGAGTGTGTGTGTGTGTGTTAGTAAGTAATATCAGGATGGACCTCCTGCCACACCCGATGGGCGAGGCCGCCTGTCTTCAACAGAAATTCTGGGTGCGGTTAATGCGTACGTGTGTGCATGTGTGTGCATGTGTGTGACAGAAGATAGAGAGAGAGAGAGAGAGAGAAAGAGARAGAGAGAGAGAGACAGACAGACAGACAGAGAGAGAGAGAGATAGAGAGAGAATGCTTAATAGAAACAAAGAAAACAAGTGTGTTTGTGGCTACTTGTGTTTTATATTGTGTGTGTACATCGCAAGTGTGTGTGTGAGAGAGAAAGATGGATAGTGTGTGTGTGTGTGTGTGTGTGTGTGTGTGTGTGTGTGTGTGTGTGTGTGTGTGTGTGTGTGTGTGTTGCTGGGCAGGGCTGTCCCAGAACTGGGGTGTAAACAAGGTTACGTAATGCAGTGTGCCGTCACACCTCCCTGTAAAACGAAAAGAAAGAGCTGTGGCATTTCTGGTTGTTGTTCATATTAACTTTATTTTCACTGTGATTATTTAATTTTGTGGAATCATGAGTCAGAAAATCACATCACAGACATTCAGACACGTCCGGGGGGGGGGTGAGGAGAAACAGAACAAGTGAAGGGGGTTGGTTTGTTGGATTCTTTCTGTGCCAGGAGAAGGGATATAAAAAAAAATGAAAGGATGAAAAGAAATAAAGGAATAATTAAGAGAGAGAGAGAAAGAGAGACATTAATGCTGAAGTGGGAGCCCTTGTGTTGACTCAGTCTGACTCTCTGTCGACCTCTGGTGGATCAACTCTTAAACTCACCTGCTTCAACCTCAAAACATAAATTCAACCAAAATATACAGAACTTGAATTAAGGTAATGAACATATTTGTTTTAATCCAAAATGTAAAAGATCATAAATTTCATATTAGCAAACATCAAATTAGATCCCGTGATGTCTGTGAAGTCTCATATCGGACAGATTTAATCGGTTGGGGTCTATTTTATTAACCTGGATTAAACATGAAGCATCCAGAGGTGAGTATTGATCAGCATCGGTTTCCTCTTCTCCTCTCTCAGATCGGTGATGGACCTAGAGCCCGTCGATCCAGATTCGCCCGACATCAAGAGGAGGCGAATCCACATGTGTGACTATGAAGGCTGTAAAAAGGTTTACACCAAGAGCTCACACCTCAAAGCTCACAGGAGGATACACACAGGTGAGACCGGAGCAACACACACACAACAGCAGTCAGAGATAAACACATTTAAAAGTCAGAGGAAGAAATGAAAACACAACCCGAGCACAGCGATGACTTGAAGTTTAGTTTTCTCAGGTTATTTCAAGTTAAGTTGTTAATTTCATAGCAGGACAAAAATCAAGACACCATGAATGATAATTACTAACGAGAGGCAGATGGATAAAAAAACAGGAGTAACCATCTTTACATTTACTAGATTTTTATTATATATCAGTAATCTAAATCTGCCAGATTGATTAATTATTTTCTGAGAAATTAGTGAAAATGTTTAAAAAAAACGCTGTCACAAGGTTAAAGAAAATAATTTGATCCAAAATGTGATTTTCGTTTAATTCTGCCGTCAAACAAACAAACTGAACACGGACGAAAACCTTCTTGGCAGATAAACACACAAAAAATTAAAAAAGAACTTTGTTGGTTTGTTTCAGACAAAGGAAAAAAAACTTCAACTTCATCATCAAAAAACAAAAAGACTGAATGTTTTTGGTGCAAAGTGGAAAATAGGAAGAAAGATATTTGACAACACTGAAAAATCTTCCAGTGGAAAAAGTCTTTGTAGAAGAGACAGAAAGATAAATTTTACTCAGACGAGTTTCTGGAAAATGTAATAAATCAGTAAATGAAGTGAAATGAATGATTTCTGTCTGCCAGAGTTTGAGCTTCTTCTTTTCCTCTTCGGCTCCTCCTCTCATTCTTTCCTCTCCTCTGACTCTTCTCTTCTTCTCTGTCCAGGAGAGAAACCCTACCACTGCACCTGGGAGGGCTGCACCTGGCGCTTCGCCCGCTCCGACGAGCTGACCCGACACTTCCGCAAGCACACAGGAATCAAACCGTTCCGCTGCACCGAGTGCGACCGCTCCTTCTCGCGGTCCGACCACCTCTCCCTGCACCGCCGCCGCCACGTCATGATGTGAACTCTGACCTCCCCCGTCCCCCTCAAACACTTCCCTCTCTCCCTCGCTCCCCCCCTCACAGCACATCTTGTACCAGTGTCCTCTCTCCTCGCCTCTGCCGACACGTTAGGATATAAAAAAGACGCCGCTCATTCTTCGTCCTCCTCCTCTTCATCTTGAAATCGCAGGAACATCAGGAATGTGTCTGTTCATGTGTGTGTGTGTGTTTAAAGACGTCATCCTCTCCACCACCGTCCACCGAATGTCCCATCTTACCCCAAAACTATCCCACCGGTCTCATAACACGCGTCCTCATGAGAGAGACGGATGGACTGAAGGACATCCAGCAGCAGGGACGCTCATCCATCCATCACATGCATCCATCCAGAGGAGGAGGAGGAGGAGGAGGAAGGACATATGTGTATTGTCTTATGTCTCTTCAGCTGCTCTTTTTTTCTGTTTGATTTTTTAATTGTGTACATATCCAGAGTTGGGAAGTTGTGTGAAGAAGACAAAATGATATATTTTATCCATATATTATGGATTTTGGAAGCGAAATAAACCTTTTTCCACGCAAGAAACGTTTTCCAGGATGTTTTTAGGAACTCAGGAGCGTCGCCTTTGTTTCTGTAACTGAAGGAACGTGGTCAAAACGGCTCTTTACCATAAAACTTTCCCTTAAATTCAATCAAGCTGCATCGAATCACACAAAGAAATCAGTCCTCCAAACTCCTGATTTCTTTTCATAAACGATTTCCTGTAAACGTCTCACCCTGCGTCTTCCACACAGACGACCCGAGAGTCGACCTTTGAGACCTGAAGCTCGATACTCAGTCAGCGTTGGAGGAAATGGTTTCTGATCTTTTTGTCTTCGTCTCCTGCAGTTCCTAAAGTCTTGTTGGAAAAAGTTCTGAAAACAGTTCAGTCTCTGTTGGATTATATCGTTTGTTAAATCGCGGCTTTTGCATAAAGTTTTTAGGAATCTGGGGTTAGTTTTTTTTTGAAAGAAGAGGCTTCCCAACGTAATCTGTGTGTGTGGCTGAAGTCACGTTAAACATTGACCCCCCCCCTCACCCTCTCACCCCCTCTCACCCCCTCCGACCCCCTCCGACCCCCTCCCCTGGTACAGGGAGCTACAAGACTGTGAACTTTATAAAGATTCATTTGTTTTCATCGTTATCAATCAAGTTATTGTCTTTTTGCGTGTCCCCCCTCCCCCGCACACCCCCTGATTCTTCTTCGAAAACAGTATTTTGCCTTTTTTTTCTTGTGCGTCGTCGTTGTGATTTTAATTTTTTGAATAAGGCCTTCAGTTCTGTGTTTTGTTCCTTCTTTAGTTTTTGGTTTGGCTCTTAACAGAATGGCACCCTCCCTTTACAAAGAAAAAAAAAAGAAAGAGAAGATCCTTGAGTTTTGTTCTGAGGCTGTGAAAAGACAGGAGACGCAAATAGTTTGAGATTAAACTCACGCAGGGAATAGGGGAGCTTTTCTGAGTGTGTGTGTGTGTGTGTTTTTGCGTGTGGTGTTTATGTGCGTGTGTGTGTGTCTTTGTGTGCGTGTGCATGTTTTGAGACAAACACATAATCAGAATTTAAGATTTTTTACAAGTGTGTGTTCCGGGCACTTGTTGTTCTTTTACCTCTTGCCCGTTGAGCCTTAATAATCGAAGTCAATCTGAATAAAGGGCGAAACCAGAACCTGCGACAGACGACGACACTCGGCCACAGATCAACTGTGAGTCTCCGCCGATGGAGACGCGATGACGCTGGTCTGTGCAGCGTGTAGGCGTGTTTGATTTCCTCGTTGGTTTCCTCACAGCAGCGAGCGTTTTACATGTTTCTTGGTGTTTGGTCAGAGATAAACTTGCGTGTTGCTACATCGTGGCCGCCTCGTGTTTCCTGCGTCAGGTTGGTGCGTCGGCCGTGCACATCCCCAGAAAGTGAAAGTACTTGTCTGCAAGAATCAAGACACACACGACCAGTAGGGGCAGTGTAGGGGCAGTACGTGTCCACCAGTGTGACCACGACAGCCAGTGGGCATAGGGATCAGAACCACTGTGACCTTTTTGACCTTGTGAACGTAATTTCTTAAGAACGCCTCAAGAGAATCCTTTTTGAATTTGGCACAAATGTTCTTTTGGACTCACAGATGATCTGATTAGATGTCAGGGGTCAAAGGTCACAGTGACCTCATACGAGTCTGTGTAAAAAAAGTTTACTGAATCCAAATTCGGCTCTTTGCTGTGTGAGTTCTGTGGAGCGCCCTCTAGTGTAATACTCCAGTAACACAACAAGAATGTGGTGGTTGTCTACGTGAACGTGTAGCTGAGCGGCGAGTATATCTCCGACCTTTGAAACCACGACGTCATCGAGGTCATGTGTAACACATCGCCGCGACAACAGATGGGTCTGTTGCTGGGAAGCTCCTTCTCAGTATTTTACATCACAGCACAAATCAGGAAGGGGGCGCTGTTCCTCCAGAGGGCGGTCGCAGTTTGTTGATGCTACCTGAAACAATGTTGAAATATTTTTGCACTGTTACAAAATCAGAAAGCGCGGAGCCAACATGGCTGCCAGCGAAAGCGGCGGCGGTCAGGCCGTCGGCTGTCAGCGGTTCTGGGAGAAACCTGGCACTGTGTCGGGCTGTCAGGGTCCGTAGTGCCTGGGGTTCAAACCACGGGGAAACTTAGGCGCTCTCCTCACTAGCATTTCTACCAGGGAGGGGTTGTGTGGGGGGGGGGTCACTTCTCTTTCAAATCAGTTCATTTCCATCGTGACGAAAGTGAAAGCCTCAAAAAAACTAATAGACTAACATAGAATCTCGTTCTTATGCATTCTCCCTTTCTGTCTCCGCAGCCCTGACTTGTAGCCTGAGCTCGACACAAAGAGTAAAAACGTTTGAGCTCGATTGAACTGAATTGACCCCCCCCCGCCCCCCGCCCTGACCCTGCTATAACCCACAGCGTCCATGTCTTAAGGGGGCTCTTCTCCAGCTCCTTGATCTGGGCTGAACTTGATTATGCAACTTATCGCAGACCTCGCTCCAAGCGCTGTCCTGAGCTCAGCAGTCGAGCTCCCACTGCGTCTCACCCACCGGGTTGTGAGCAGAACCTTTAAAACGAGAGGTCGGGATGTGGAGAAGCCTGCGCTGTCGGTCCCTGAACTAAAGCAGCTTCTGAAAGCACCCGTGAAAAGCTAGTAAGCGAGAGCGGCGCGTCGCACACCGGACGTCTCTCGGTTTAACTCGAGGTGGACGTGCAGGCTTCCTGTGAGCTGAGTGCATGACACGAACAGGGCAGATTGTGTTGGTCCGCACGCTGCAAAAAGAAATCCCTCTCTGCACGTCACTGAGTCTGGTTTGGATTTTTAAATATTGTTATCATTGTAGAAACAAGATTAGATTAGTTGCGTTTTTTAAAAGAGAGAAAGTTTATTATTTAAAATCAACTGGATTCATTTTCTTGTGAAGAGGGATTTTCTTCTGGATTTTGTTTTTGCAGTGCAGAGCAGTGCAATGTTCCCATCCCCCTCTGCTTCGACTCAAACACAGAAAACATAGTTACTAAGCACATAGCACATCTTTCTAGAAGAGTATATGCATTTGATTGCAATTTCCTTTCTTTTGTAAACTGTTGATAAAGACATTAAGGACAAATAATTAAGATAAACCCATGTACATAAATGTATATAATCAGAAAGTGCAGAGTAAATGTAACGGGTGAATTTCTATTTTTAACACTGACTAGATAATGTGAAAACATCTTTTCTTCTTCTTCTTCTTCTTCTTCTTCCTCTGTTGGTTTGATGAAGTGTTTTCATCATGTGTTCATTTTTATTTCTCAAATCTAATAATGCATTTGTTTCGTAGTTTCTTAAAAAAAAAAAAATGGTCCCACTTGTGTTGTGCACACTCGTGTTGCATGGAGAGTAGCCTTCTTGTTTTTCTTCTAGTGACGTTGGTGTGCATGTCCGTGTGTGTGTGTGTGTGTGTGTGTGAGAGAGAGAGAGAGAAAGTGGGGTTCCTTTAACATTTAATGATCTGAGGGGGAAAAGAAAACCTCCACTGAGGAATCACGTTGAAAATGATTAATTAGGCTTTGATTTATTATGACAGAGTTTGATCTGTCTGCACTGCACTTGATTTTAAAATATCACAAAGTCTTGAAAGAGTCAGTGAAATGTCAGATTAGTTAGTTTGGGTCAAAGAAACATTTATAAAACTGAAACTTTTAATTGAGACAGGGCTAAGAAAATATATTTATTTTGGTTGTTTCGTAAAGAAATGTTCATGAACATCAACCTATGACAAGAAACAGGAAACAAGCTTGCCAGTATTTTATTGGAACTTTTTATCTTTGTGTTGACCAAATTTATAAATATGTATTTTCTCCTATTTGAAATTCTAACCTTTAATTTATCTTTGGTTAAAATGAAGGTAACGTTTTCATTTATCTCAGAATATAAAATGACCTGATTATACAAAGACACAAACGCACTAAAAAGCTCCAGGGCTCCGCTGAGGATCGTCTCAGTGGTTTCCAGGAGACAGATGCATGTATTGGTCTGTTTCCTCCGTCCTGCTGTGTCGTTGTTTGTGCGAGCTTGTTTTCCTCTGTGTTCTTCTAAATTCGTGCACGAAGCAGGAACATCTGAACACGGGGACATTTGAAGAGCTGTCGTCCCGGCTCATGTCCGAGGGTGACATCACTGACGTGTGTCCGTCTGTGTGCGAGTGCCTCGACTCACCACCGATCATTTCCTCTACCAATCTTTTAGGTATTTTCTATTGAATGCAGTAACTTATGGGCCAGTACTATATTTACTCAGTGCAATGCAGTTATCATTATAATAATACAATTATTAATAATATTTTTGTTTCTTTTTTTCTTTTTGTATTTGTACAGAACAAATGTGTAAAGATCAGTGAGGAAAACGTGAGCTTTTTGATACTGTGACTCATGGTGTTTAAAAGTCAGTTTCTCCCTGTACAGTTGTGATTATTTCCCTCCTCCCCTCCTTCTTCTTTTATAGAATAAAAAATGTTTTTGGTGCAATTTAACGTCGTGTCTCTGTGTTGTTTCATGGTTCATCACTTTCTTAAAAGATGGTGTTACACAGCCCCGGGGGAAAAACACATATTACTATATTCTAATATCAGTTTTGTGTTCTTGAGCTTAGATGTTTTTTTTATTTTATTCTGTGGGATAGAAATAAAAAAATAAAAAGTGAATTATTACATGTTAAATGAAAAAGTGGAACATTAAAGTTTTGACCCAAGATGAGACATCAGAGGATCATTAGTTATTTAAATTCATCCTCAAGGGCCATAGATATTATAAAATCATGTCAGTCATGTGAAACAGGTTAATTCAGTCTGAGACAGACAAACCGAAACTGAAATATCCAGAGTGTGGATTTAAAATATTAATACACGTAGAGAGGCTGGTTGTGAAAAAAATAATCTTGAAATGATGAAAAAACAATGGAAAGAAATGAAGTCTTGGAAATCTCAAGTTGAAAAACGTAAATTTTCTTTATCTTCACCATTTAATTCAGAATATTTTATCATTTCCTATTT